AATTTTTGAGGGCTGCAGAGCCACTTACTGACTCATAACTGGGGCTTGTTTTCAAACCCTTGATGGATTTTTGAATTCTCTACCAACGCCAAACAAGGATGCTCACTTGGGGACAAGCCAGGGATGTGCCTCAGCGAGCTGGATCCCCCTTGTACTGCTGCCCCAGCTGCCACGGGGACAGGGGGGTGCTGCAGGGGACAGTCTCATGTCCCTCTTGGGACACTCTTGGTGGGCAGTCAGTGGCTGGCAGCTTTGTCCAAGGGGTGGGGATGGGATGGGATGGGATGGGATGGGATGGGATGGGATGGGATGGGATGGGATGGGATGGGATGGGATGGGATGGGATGGGATGGGATGGGATGGGATGGGATGGGGTGGGATGGGGAAGCCACTGCCAGAAGTGCAGTGAGTTACTGCACAACCTTGGTGGGAGGTTTGCAGGTCAGTGTGTGATGTACAACTTCCCAGCCTGTAGCTGTGCAATGAGTTGGGGTTCAGCCCTGTCCCCATGCTGGAACACAAACTCACTTGTGGAATGTGGAATGATGTGCTGGAAAGGAGCTGGGCACGGTGAGACCTTTCTCCTTTAGTGAGCAAACACAGCTGGTCATTTGGTTGGTCTAGCAGAAGAGAGATGGGGTTCTTTGGGTATCACTGCATGCTGCATATTCCACACAGCAGCCCTCTGCTTTTAGTAATGTGGTACACAACGTACCTGATCCTCCTGGTGGAAGCATGTCCTGTTTTCCATTTGTTTATTAATTTATCATCTTGTTTTTAGACTCTGCAAAGCTTGATATTGGTATAGAGCCTGGGAAACGTGCACAGAGCGGAGTAACAGATAGTTGTGATTTGGTTACAAGGCAATAATTTAAGTGGACAGGTTTAGCTGATAACATAAAGCACATGAGAGAAATCGCTTTGGTTTATAAATGTCAGCAGAGCCCCTGCGAGGGAGCTGCTGCCTGGTGCTGCTGCTCCAGCCAATATATTACAAGGAGATATAAACAGATGTCTGAAAAAATCTGGCTGACCAAGATTAAAAGAATGGGGCTATAAATTAAAGTCTTCCTCAGCGTCTCTTTAAGCAACTTTATGGACAGAGTGCATCCAGTGAAAAGTGCCAATGCTCAGAGGGACCTCCAGGTGCTTTGGGCTGCAGAGGCAGCACCCAGGGGTGGGGACAGCTTGTGGGGACAGCAGTGTCAGTCAGAGCTGGCATGGGAGACCAAAGCCTGTCCTGGTGCTTCTGCAGCTGATAAAGGGATTAAATCAGAAACAGGAATAACACCATCCCTGCAGTGTCGCCACAGGATCAGTGTCTCCTGCTTGGAAAATAAATGCTGTTGCTCTGCTTTGACATTTATTCCCAATAAAGGCCTTGTCATTTGTGCAGTGACAAGGGTTTTATCCTCTGGGTACTTTACCTGTTGGACACTGTCTTTTTGGCTGCAAGGCAGCTGAGTGACTGAGGTGCCCGTGGGTGACACATTGCCAGCAGAGGCACTGGGAGCTCTGCTCAGCCCTGAGGCTTTCTCTCAATCCATCATCCTAAGGCAATGCAATAGCACCTATTCAAACTGAGAGCAGGTTCAGATTGGATATTAGGAAGGAATTGTTCCCTGGGAGGGTGCCCAGAGCAGCTGTGGCTGCCCCTGGATCCCTGGCAGTGCCCAAGGCCAGGCTGGACAGGGCTGGGAGCAGCCTGGGACAGTGGGAGGTGACCCTGCCATGGCAGGGGGTGCCCCTGGATTAGCTTTAAGGTTCCTTTCCACCCAAACCATTTGGGGATGATTCTGTGGTCTTATTTTTAATTGATTTTAATTTATTTTTGTTGTAGTTAAAAAAATCCCAAGAGTGGGATATTTTTTAAGGGGTCCAAACAATTTGTGGGGGCAGGAGTTTGCTGCTTCCCCCTCCACAGCTGGAGCCCTTCTGGCAGGTTTGTAGAGGGGATTTCACAGCTATTTCTGCTCACTTGTAGTTGATTTAGAGCTGGGAAATTAACTAGAATGGAAACTCTTCTTTCCCTTTATGAGGAACAAGGGATGAGGTCTGGCAGCTGTAGGATTTGCAGCTCTCAGGGAAGAGGGACCATTCTGTAACACATCTCTGCAGTGCCTACCTGTGGATACAAATCTTTTATTTGTCTGAGGTGTCAAGGAGAAAAAATGTTAAAAAATGCCTTAAATAAAAACGTGTTTTTTGTATTTTTTAATTGACGTTCATTTCCCAAGTGCACCTTAATGCAAACAATAAGTAAAAAATTAATTTCTCTCGGGAAAAAGCTATTAACAGAATGATTCTGTTTTAGCAGCATGTGAAGCTGTGTAATTGCTTACACATGTATTGCTCCTGTGTGTGCTCCCAGTTGTTGAATAGTATCAAATTATAGGAATCAAAGAGAATCAACTATTTTTAAGGGAAATGTCTAGAAGCTGCATACTGAAACATGATTAAAATTCAGGATTTCCAGGTTACTTGTCGAAATCAGCAATTTTAATCACATTATGCAAGTCAACCCACCCTCAAACACACTTTTGACTTCAAAATACCCCAAACTAAATAAGACAGAAGACCTTCCTTGAACAGCTGTAACGTTTTTAAGTGTCAATGTCAATCTTTTTGTTGAACACAGAGATGTTTTCCATGGTTTGTTTATTAAAGCAGTGCGTTTGTCCTGCTGTGCCATGAACCTGGGCTGCTGTGCTGAGCAGGGAGGGAAGTCCCTGGAGCACCATGAGCTGCTTAAACACATTGGGGCTGTGAGTTTTGCTCTGGGGTTCGGATGCTCTTGGTTAAATCTCGTTTAGTGTGCCAAGCAGGAGCAGGAAGGGTTTGTGCCTTGGCTGATGCAGTCTCTGTGATTTGGCTGTGCTGGGATGTGCAGCTCGTGAGCACCAGGCCTGGGTTTGGTTTTATTTCCTGCTTGCTGATGTGACACATGAGTAATGCGATGGTTGACTCTCACAATTAAAAGGCAAATATCATATATATATATGTTAAGAGAAGTTTTATAGCTATGTTTTACCCCCTTGTGCTGTTATCAGGGGTGCCCTGGGTTTGGGACATTTGGGAGGGGTGGCTCGTTGCTGTGGCAGCAGCTGAGCTCCAGTCAAGGTGTCAGAAGTGTCTCCAGCACTGGACAGAGCAGGAGGATCGATGGACAGAACTTTGGGGGGATAAAGGGTGTGGGTGAGCACTAATATTTTCTCTATTCAGCTTTTTGCTGTGTTTTTGATAAGGTTTAATAAACCTTTTAAACTTTTTGGAAGTGAATAGCGTTTCTCACACTGAGAATAGGAATTTGAAGGCTCCACCCTTCTGGAGTCTGCTCCTGTGCTTTCCTTTTGGGTGATTCCCTCAAGGGGATTCCATCCACCTCCTTCCTCTCCCCTGGCAGGGGGAGGCTGATGTGCCCGGATGCAGCTGGAGCTGTGCTGTGCTCCCTGTCAGGGGCCATTCCCGGCTGTGTGACAGCCCAGAGCTGCTGCAGCCACTGCTGGGGCTGTGACCTGGCCTGGCCAGCACAAGGGGCACAGATTGATGATGGCACCAAATTCCTGCAGAGCCCAGCTTCTCAGTGTGGGAGGATGCTCCCATAGATAGACAGAGATTAAAGGTCCTGTGTATCACAAGTTTAAGGAGCAGGAGGAGGTTGGGACCTGTCCATGGAAAGCACTCCAAGTGTGGAGGAGGCACATCTAGCCTGTCCTCCCCTAAAATGGGGAGATAATCACACCTGTCCTCTCACACATCCAACCAATGCAATTTCCAGTGGGCAGGACTGATGGAGAGAAAGAGAGTCTGCCAGAAATGCAAACCTTGTTTTAGTAGGAAATCCTTCAAGATGGATTTTCCTGCATTTTCTAAATGCATTTATACCTACTGGATGACTACAGGCTTTGAAAGGTTTCTGTCTGAATTGTCACAAACATCCCAGTCTTACATAGGAAGCACCAGGTCCTTTGATCAGGGAAATGTCTCCTTGGTCTTGAACAGGGAGGGATCAATCCAGTTGTTCCCGAGACCAGAGCTTTTTGTCTGTGAGTACGTGTATTTATTCTACAAAATAATTACCCTTGTCTTCACTTCCTTTTGGTAGGAGATGCTCCCTGTCTCCTGCAAGCTGTTACTCTATCCCAGGTATTTTTTTAGGTAAAAGGAAGAGAGAAAGGAAAGGCTGAATAAGGAATCCTCAGGAGGGAGGAGGGTGAGCAGCTGTTGTCTGTCTGTCCATCTGTGAGCAGCTCTGTGGCTGTTCAGCTGCAGCCTCGCTGTCCTGGGCAAGCAGAATTCCTGCATTAAGAGAAGAAGAAATGCCATCAAGAAGTAGCAACCAAATATTGCCTCCTCTTCACCCCAGTGTTGGGCTGGTCATTGAGATGTGTTTGTGGTGAACTGGTGAAAACCACTCTGAATTTCCAATCTTTTCTGAATTTAAATCCAAAGCTTAATGTATTCTGTGTATTTTTGTTGGCAGATAGTAGTGATCATAAATTCCTTTTAATACAGTATTTCCACACCAGCACAGCCTTGATGTGCAGCATACCTGGATGTACTCTGCGGGATGCTTTGATTTCCCTCTGGCAGCTTCATTTTATTCTGTCTGCCCCAATCAGCAATAATTCCCCTTTCTCCATGAAGCCTCCAAATCCACTCCTGGTGTGGAGTTTTAGTGCTCTCCTAAGACCTGGGCCAGAAGAGAGGAAGGAACCAGTGTCTGCTGGCTCAGGGTTCCACTTCCACTGTGGATCAGAGCCAGCCAGGCAGCACAGGGACACCTTTGGTGGCTTGGGTGGTATTTCTGAGAGGGAAAAACAACCCCTTAGGGGTGCTACGGGATGGAAAGGGCATCAGTGGTGAATATCCCACTCCTCACTGTGTGGGATGAAAGTTTTCCCCCCTTCTCCCAGGAAGGGGCATGTGTCTTCAGCTCCCAGTTCCCGCCAAAGCTGGAGCAATGCAGCGCTCCGAAATAACTTGAACTTTGTTTGTAGGTCAGGCTGTTCCTGCAGGGTCACACGTGCGGCTGAACCTGCAGACAGGAGAGAGAGAAGCCAAGCTCCCAGACAGAGAAAATGGGGAAAGTGACACGAGAGAAGAAAGAAGAAGGAAAAGGTAGACATTGAAGGCTTTGCATTGGGTGGGCTGTGGGATTTAGTCCTTTGAAATATCTCCAGCAAGTGGTGTGAAGCTGCTCTCTGAGCTTCTCCCTTGGGATCAGCTGTGAGGGCTGAGGGCTGGCCTGAGCCCGGTGCTGTGTCCAGCTGGGAGCAGCCCCACAGCCTCAGCTGCACACGGGGCACTGCCAGAGGCCCTGGAGGTCACCCCTGCCCTGCAGCCACCTCTGTAAAGGGGCTTTAAATGTCACCAGGTGCTGCCTTTTCCCTGGAACCCTTGGTTTAGTTCCTGTGGGGAATTTCTTCCCTGAAGTAGATGGGATTAGCCATGGCCACCTGAGATGGGGATGCCTGGGCACTGTGGGGCTCTGAGGGCAGCTGCCCGGGCAGGGGCTGAGCTCGGGGCCCTGTTGGGCCCATGGCCCCCAGCAGCAGCAGCCACAGGGCCCAAAGCCCCCCGGCCCTGCCCAGCACAGCCTGCCCTGCCCCTCCAGCTGGCACCCGAGTGGGGGGCAGGGGCCAGTGGCCGCTGGCAGCAGCAGGAGTGGGGGCAGGCTGAGGATCCCCTGGCTTGGCTTTTGTCTCTGGAACAATCCGGGCCCAGGGCAGTGCAAAGCAGGCTGGGGAGCAAAGCCCGGAGCCTTTGGAGGCTGCAAGCCTTAAACACCAGCCCCTGCAGCCCCCCAGATCCCGGTGCCACAGTTCCCAAGGCTGTCACGGCCTTCAGAGCATGAAGGTGGATTTTGCATCCCTGTGGCCTGATGCGGCTCTCGGGCCAGGAGTCCCCGTGGCTGCAGCAGCAAGGGTGGCTGAAGGGTTCCTGCCTGCCTGGGGGCATTGCTGCAGGGGCCACTGCTGTCAGAGCCCCCTCTCTGCTGGTGACAGCTCTGCTCCTGGGGGCCCTGCTCTGCCCCTGCCCAGGAACCCCAGCAGTGCCCAGTGCCAGGAGTGGTGTCAGTGGGACCCCCTGTGCACAGGGACCAGCCCCGGGGTGGCCGTGCCAGCACCCCCAGGGACCTCCAGCCCCGGGAGCCCAGAACAAATGGAAACCACAAGTGTGCAAACGCTGCCTGTGCCCAAGGGAATTACAAAGAGAAGTGAGATTTTAAAAATTAACAGTATTTCTTTCGCAAACATCGGCAAAACCTTGGATTTACAAACATGTTTTATTATAACAATCCTTATAACAACAACAATCTTGAAAACATATATACATGGGAGCCTATAGCCTAACAAACTTCAAAACATATTTACATGGGAGCCTATAGGCTAACAAACTTCAGAACATATTTACAGAAAAGCTCAAGGCTTGAGAACATATTTACAGAGGGGTGACACCTGTGGCCATCATCTCCATCAGTGCTGGAGGAAAGGCAGCAGCAGTGCTGGACTCTGGTGCCAGCACTGGGCCCAGCTGGGCTGGGAGCTGGGCCCCAGGGGCCGGCAGGGCTGGCAGGGCTGGCACAGCTCCAGGCAAGCACAGGGCAGGCCAGGGGTGCTGCTTGTGCCAGCACAATCCAGGGCCCCCTGTGGGCACCGTGTCCCCGAGCGGGGCCATCCAGCCCAGCCCCAGCCTGGCGTCAGGGGACACACTCTGCCTGTGGGAAGGGCGTGGGGAGCATCTGCTGGTATTGCTCCTGGGGCTCCATCTTCAACCAAGGACCATGGGCTCCTCCTCATCCTTCTCATCAACTTCCATGTACTCGATGTTCTCCTCCATATCGACTTCCATAGCCTCGACATCGTCCTCCACATCAACTTCCATCTCCTCGATGTCATCCTCCACATCAACTTCCATATCCTCATCACTCTCTTCCATGTCCACCTCCATCATTTCTTCCCCATCCAGCCCCATGTCCACTTCCATCTCCTCCACGGTGTCTCTGGCAGTCTGCAAGAGGCAGCACAATCTCACGGTGGGGTTCCTGTCCCACACCATCCATTCCCACATGGCTGCAGCCTGCCCAAGCAGGGTGCCCCCTCCCTGGCCTGGCAGTGTACCTGTACTGGGGCAGCAGTGCACATCCTGCTGGGATTGCCTTCAGAGTAGGCGCCAAGAAAAGCCCAGGCAGCAGCAACAGCTCAGCACTGACGGGCAGAGCGAAGCGCGAGTGAGCGCTGACCGCTGGCAGCAGGTGAAGTGTCTGCTGTGCTGCTTTCCAGGTCCTGCACCTTCCACCTGCAGCACTCTGGGGGCCGTGATGTCACAGAAGTTTCAGGGCCACGCCACATGGAGACATGGGGGTCGTGGAATGACCAAATCCTTGAATGGGTTGGCTTGGAATGGCCCCTAAGGATTACCTGGTTTCAACCTGAGCAACCTCCCAGCACACCAGGTTGCTCTGGAGCCTGTCCAGCCTGGCCTTGGATGTTCCTGGGGATGGGGCATGCACAGCCTCTCTGCACTGGTCCCTGTGTCAGGGATGACCACCCTCCCAATAAAGAACTTCTTCCCATCATCAAATGTCTTCCAACTCTTGCAGTTTGATCCCATTCCCCCTTGTCCTGTCACTGCAGTTCCTGACAAAGAGTCCTCTCCCACTTCCCGGTATTTCAGGCTCTTCCTGCAGGGTCACACGTGTGGCTGAACCTGCAGACAGGAGAGAGAGAAGCCAAGCTCCCAGACAGAGAAAATGGGGAAAGTGACACAAGGGAAGAGAGAAGAAGGAAAAGATAGATATGGCAGGCTTTGGGTTGGGTGGGCTGTGGGATTCATGCCTGTAATCAGAGGCCAGTGTCCCTGGTGCAGTCAATTCCTGCCTCTTGCTGAGACTCGCTTGCTGGGTTAGGAGCTGAGCAGCGCTGACAGCAGAGCCCTGTCCTTTGTGATCCCTTTGGGGTGGCAGCGGAGGTGCCCTGAGTGCACATTCATGGAGTGATGGGGATCGTGGAATGATCAAATCCTTGAATGGGTTGGCTTGGAAGGTCCCCTAAGGATTATGTGGTTCCAACCTGAGCAACCTCCCAGCACACCAGGTTGCTCTGGAGCATTTTTGCAGCCTGGCCATGGGAGTTCCTGGGGATGGGGCATGCACAGCCTCTCTGCACTGGTCCCTGTGTCAGGGACAGACCTTCTTCCAATCATCAAATCTATTCCAACTCTTGCATTTTGATCCCATTCCCCCTTGTTCTGTCATCTTCTCACAATTCACTGTAGCCCCTTCACTCACTGGAAAGGTGCTGTGAGGTCTCCTGGGACTCTGTGTACAATGGTCATAAGCTGAAATCTCGAGCTTGAAGCTTGCAGGCTATCAGCAATGATTTGGTGGCACAGGGGTGCTTCCTCTATTGCAACATGAAACTCTGACATATCAATTCTTGAGCTGTTTTCATTGTGGTAGGACTTCAGGTTTTGGGTCAGCAGAGCCTCTGATTGTCAGAGTGAGGCTTTGGCAAGCTGCACAGAGAATCCAGCACTCATCCCAATCTTTTCTTGAGCATGGTGGTTTTTTATTCCTTTCCTCCTGCTGTTAGCCATTGCTAGAATGTCACAGTGAAAATAGAAGAGAGGCAGTTGTTCACTGGTAACATGTTCTGGTTTGTTTTGTTTCTTCTGCAAGGCTGGGCAAGGTTGATGTTGATGCAAATTCATTCACATCGGAGGAGCTCAAAAAGGCCTTGGCTAAAATGAAGGAAAGTGAGAAGGCAGAAAGGAAGGTGAGTTTCCTGTTTCTAAAGCAATGCACAGTGCAGGGATGTGAACACACCCTGTTACACACTGCAGAAATACAATGGTTAAAATGATTGCTTGGAAAGCACTGCACAAACTAATCTTGTGGTGCATATGGACTGAAAATACCTTTGCTCACCTGTGAGTGATATTGTTCCCTGGCTTTTCTGTATGACTCTAAGATTCTGTGAATGGTTTGAGTTGCACAGGACCTTAAAGCTGATCCAGTGCCACCCCCTGCCATGGGCAGGGACACCTTTCACTATCCCAGGTTCTCCAAGCCCCATTCAAGCTGGCCTTGAACACTTCCAGGGATCCAGGGGCAGCCATAGCTGCCCTGAACAAGGTAATTTATCTGCAGCTCAACTCACAGAAATGTCTGCAGTCCCCAAAGGAAACTGGTTTGCATCTGACAGTATTTACAGAGGGTATTTCCCTTTCACTACTCTCCTTGCTTTCTGTTTCCAACCTTGTGCTCGGGATAGCAACACCCAAGTGGCCATAGTGAAGCAGGGGCTGAGTTTCATTACACAAGCTCCAAGTTGTCCATTTAGTTACAAACAACCCACAAACCCAAGTAAATAGGTGGGATGGTGTGTGACTCATCAGGTGCATCACAGTCTCTTTCCCTCTCCCCCTCAGCAGCATTTCCTTAACCCTCGCTCCTCCTGCTGCCTTGGTGTTGGCTCACTCAAATGAAAACTGAAAGAGGAGTCAAGGCTCTAAAGTTTTGGTGTCACAGAAAGGCTTTTTCTTCCCTTATGTGGCAGCATGGCATGATTTCATTTGCTGGGAGATTATTTCCATAGCAGCATTGCTGATTGATTGCAAGGCTGCTGGAAATGAGGATCATTGAAATGCAAAAATTAGTGATACTCTATTAGGTGAAAATAAGCCATATTTTAAACCCCCCTGTTAGAATAGCTTTTGTCCCAGCAACTAAAAGCAGCTATGTGTAATGGACCTAAAGTATTCCATTTGCAGTCACTCCTGCAGAGAGCAAATCCATCCTTGAAGGCTCTGTCAGAGGAAATGGAATTACACTGAGTCTCGCTGTGCTCCGGCAGAGGCAGCTCGGGGTGGGGTGGGTTGGGTGTGGTACCTGTGGTAATTTATCATTTCATTGACACAGCTTTCACCTCCATTGCTCACTTGGTTTTCCTCCAGCCCTCTCTGATCCCTCATGGGGAGCAGGACATGTGCAAATCCTCCAGCTGGGGGTTTGCATACAAACACATCTTGGTATTTGTGACAAATCCCTTCCAAAAAGGGCTTTCTGCCTTTCTCCTGTCCTTGGGGCAGCCCAGCTCCAGCCTGCCCTTTCTGCTGCTTCTGTCCCCTGCAGCAGCAGGCTCTGTCCCCAGTGCCACCAGTGCTGAGGTTCCTGCACCTCTGGGGCTCTCTGAGTTCTCTGACACATCCTTTCCTCCTCAGCACATGTTTTGTGTCAGCTCTCTTGGTTCAGGGCAGCCCTTGGAGTGCTGTTACTGCGAGGGAGATGAGCCATGCTCAGGACAGGCTGCTGGCCAAGCCCCATGGCACAGCACGTCAGCTGCCCCCAGCTTATCACTGCTCCTCCTGCTTCCCTTTCTGACAGCTTCTGTCCCCACACCTCTCCCTGGGAGATAGAGCCTTCCTGGAATGTGTTCAGTGCTTGGAATGGTGAAAGCATCTTTGTCGGTGTCCGAGATCTCCTTGGAGTCACTGGGCACTTCGGGCTGGATGGAACCTCTGGAGTTCTTCAGTCTCATGTCCATTTCCAGAGAGGTTCAGCTGTAAGATCAGGGATGACTCAAGGCTTTTTGCTGCCAGGTTTTGGGAACATCCACTTGCAGGCAAACAGAGAACAGCAGTACTGCTGCCTGTGGGCTTGATGTTGAGCTGGATAGAAATGGGATGCAGAAATGGTGCACAAATGCTGTCGAGATTAGAAGTGGTGTACAAAGCCCTACTGCTCACTCACACTGTGGGTATCTCACAGCTAACTGGGTTTCTGGGCTTCTCAGAAGGACCCTCCAACCCTGTCCCTGCACCTCTGATGCACAGCAATAAATCCATTGGCACAGACAGCCAGGTTCCCTTTGTGAATTTGGGGCTGGTGTTCCTTTCTGTGTTTGTCTTGTCTCTCTTCATCCCCTATCTTCACATCTGGTTTCCTCCTTCTGTTTCCAAGGCCCGAGAGGAAGAGGTGAGGAAGAAGTTCCGACCCATAGAGCAGCTGAAGGAGGAGTTTGAAAAGCTGAATATGAAGATAGAAACAGATTATGAAATTATGGTTAAATTAATCAGCAAATTCAACAGCTCTGCCTCCACGCTGGATGAAAAAGTCGCGGCGCTTTATGATCTCGAATATTATGTTCACCAGGTAACAAGAATGCCTCAGTAACTACCGTGTAAAATCCAGGGGATACGGTGTCATAAACGGGGCTTTATTTTTCTTATCAGTATCAGGTAATACAAATTGCTTAATTACCATAATCTTGGGACAATAACAGACAGCAGAGGACTAGTGCAGGCTTATTTTATATCCAGGTTGGAATTAATCATCGCTTGTGCCAGGAGCCAGCAGTATCCTAGTGGTTCCCTGATTTGTTGTCTGTTCTCAGGCTGGTTTTCTTATCCTCACTTTTTCCTCTTTTATCTCCTTAATGTTACAAAATGGGGTTTTAGCTGCCATTTTTGGGTAAGTAGAGTGGTGGCTGCTAAGAAAATAATTATTTTCTCTCTGCTTCCATGGAAAGCTGCCGTGATTGATGGTAGGTGCCCTTACATCAGTTCACAGAGAATGTCTTTGTACCAGGGAAGGCGACAGCCACCCAAAACCCCCTATTTTGTCTTGGTGTGAGTAAGCAGTGGCAAGCGGAGCCTCACCGTGCTAATTAGCTCTGTGTGAGGGTGAACATATTTCCTGGCATCTCGCTTCCTCGGGTTTGTGCTCACACTTTTCCCCCCTCCCTCTGATCTCTCTTGCTCTGCTTTCAGCTCACACGTCCCTTCCTCCTCTTGGATGCAGCTGCAGGCACAGAGCTCTGCTCCCCTGGGCTTGGTGCCTGCCTTGGTGCCACCCTTGGGAGGGTGTCTGGGCATCCAGCCTCTGCTCTGCCATGTGAGAAGGGACTTGGCTTTTCCCTCCCCAGTGACTGGGAGAGTCTGGAGTGCACTGGGAGAGTTTCCAGTGGCACTTTGTCATTTTAGATAGTGAATAGGACAACTCTTGGGAGGTGCCAGTGCAAGCCCTTTCACTGGAACAGCACTCGTTGAACCCAATGTGGGATTTTGAGGGCAGGTAGCTCAAGTGTTGCTGCTGTGGGAGAGGAAGTCCATGTGCCAGCTGATAGAAGTGTTATTTCCAGGGCTCTTTGTCTTGAATTTCTACTCTGAATTGCTGTTGTGGGCAGGCAGAGGCTTCCTTGCTGTTTGTTCTCCCTGCTTTTGTGTCACTGACAGCATCTGTGTGATTCAGAGAATAACTGTGAACAATAGGCACCCAAAGAGCTTCATATTTGTACTCAGGGCTAATCTTCCCTGATTAAGGGTGCCAGAGCATCAGGCCAGTGTGCTAAAAAAGCAACCCCCAAATGCCCTGAGATGCCTTGGATTCCAGCATAACGGTTTGGACTATTCCAGCAGAAAATCCCTGCAGCACAGGATGGGACAAACAATTTCAGAACGGCAGAGGAGCAGGGACTGGAGCATCAAAGGGAAGCACATGCAGCATCAAAGGGGTCAGAGAGGGGGAATGGCAGGAGGCTGGCGGGAGCACAGGGCGCCTTTGTGCGCTGATCACAGCGCTGCTCTGTGCCCGCGCTGTCGGGGCAGATGGCTGGGCAGCACCTTCTCGTCAGGCAGGAAGCTGATAAGAAATATGACTTGTCTCTAAGCCAGCATGGCTTTTCCTCCTCTTTCTTCTTCCAGTCAGTTGAATGCGTCCAGAGCATTATCTCTGCTTGGGACTGACTTTAGCAGCACTGGCTTAATGTAATTACTGAACAGCAGCCAAAGGACGCTCGTGCCGCATAACCCTGGAAGGGCTGAACTGTCAGGACTCCTCTGCAGCGTGTCACAGCCCTGCCGTGGGAGCAGGGCATCCTTGCAGGTGTGGGTGGCACAGGCCACGTGTGGGGCCACTTTGCTGGTCCCACCTTTTCCAGCCTCCATCAGAGCAGTACTGGGCCGTGCCTTTTCATAGCTGTTCATCTCCCAGCCACCCTGCTGCTCCCTCCAGGGCACAGGATGCCCAATGGAGTGGAAAATGCCATGCCCTGGAGGGTGTGCAAGCAAAGGCTGCTCCCTGCTCTGTGCCATGGTCACCCTGGAGCAGAGGGTGTAGGGCAGCTCGTGCCCTGGAGTGCGCCGTGGGAGCCGTGGCCGGTGGCCAGCCCGGGGAGAGGCTCTCTCCTCCTTTGAAGAGTCAGCCCAAGGGCTCTGCCTCTGCTCAGCTTTTGGTTGCCAGCTCTGGTTTGCTTCTCCTCAGCCACAATTCAGCTTGGCATGTTCGGGAGCCCATCTTGGAGAAGGAGTAGGAAGGTTTGGCTTGCTAGGTTATCTGTAACGCATAAAACCCAAATGCAAATGTGAAGAGGGCAGAGTGTAACTCATAAACAGCATTCACGGTGCTTGCACAGCAGTGTGTGGAGCCAAGACCTGTTCTGAGGCATTGCAGGCTCTTTCTCTCAATTATTTACTCTGCTTATCTGCCTCTCTCCTCTCCTCTGACATGCTACACCATTTCTATCTGCTAATTTCCTCTCCATCACCTGCAGTTGACATGCTGCTTTCCCTCGCTCTTGTTTTCTAACATCTTCTCTCTCACCTTCCCTCCCTATTTTCTTTCCCCTCCAATTCAAACCTGCTCCCTGAATAACTGCTGTCATATTTGCTCTTCTCCCATCCCTCCCCTCACCTGTTTTGCCTGTGTACTTTACTCAAGAGCTCTTTTGATCTTTGATTTTTCTTCTGTGCTGGTTTCAGTGGACTGAAGCGAGGTAGGAGCTGCTGCCTCACAGCATCCACTGCTCCCCAGAGAGGTTAATACCTTCAAGTTGTTAACTTTGGGGATTTTGATAGTTTTAGAACTGGAGCTCTCATAACAGACTCTGGTTAAAAAAGATAAACACATCTTCAGAATAAGCTTTACAGCACAATTTACATTCTGCCATTGTGGTGTCTCGCTGACGCTGGGGCAGCACGAAGGACTCTGCTGCTGCTGAGGTTACAGCAGTGGCTGGTTTTACCCCACCAGGTGCTGGATGCAAATTCTTGCCCGTCCATACATTCCCTCTCATGCAGAAGTCAATGTCCGATTCCAGCACTAAACCAGTTTTTACAGAGGCTGAGTAATAAAAGGACCCACTGGCAGCTGAAATTGGGTTGCTGCATAGATTTCTTTGTAGATAAAGATGGGTCTGCAGAAAAGTGAGAGATCTGGCAGGCCTGGTTTATAGGAACAGTTAAAAGAACAGCATCTGAAAGGATACAAAAGCTGCTGCAAATCCTGAATCAGCCCCAGCAGACCTGCAGAGAGCAGCTTTGCAGAGGGACAGGTGGGTATTGTCCCGTTGGGGAGCAGAGATGAGCTGGAGCTCCCCAGGTCCTGCTTTGGTTGGTAACGACAGATCCGTAGGACACAAAGCTTCTTCCTTCTCCTGGGTACCTGAAATATCTGACTTAGGGCCAATTTTGATGAAGGTACATGGTTGAGATAAATATAACACTGAGCATGAAGTCATTGACTAGAAGAGTGTCCCACATGCCCTGCATGGCTTGTGGTCCTCTCTCACCCCATCAGGGGGTCGGTTTGCCCTGCTGATAACTCATTTTTATATTCTGTTTCCATCTGCCAACGATTGCTGTTGTCTCCCTGTCTTTCAGGGAGGAGAAATGTTGAATTTCTAAACCTGATTTTTCTGTGCAGGCAGTTCTGAGCATTCATCAGATCCCCTTTTAAACTGGAAAAAAAAATCATTGAATACCAAAATGCATCGATTTGACTTTGGACTGAATTTTGTACTTGAAGTAGTTTGTGCAGTTTCTCTAAATTTTGTCAGTGAGCACTCAGAGCCTTTTCTGATCTCCTCTCCAAGAGCAGATGCCCGCTGGGACTATGCCTGGCTAGCCCCTGATCCATCCAGAGGCTGATGAATCCCCACTAATGTGTAAACTTTTCCCTACTGGCAGTTAATCCATTATTGTTTGCTTAGAAAAGTCAATGTGGGGCTGCTCCCCACACTGGGGAGCACATTGCTCCCAATGTGGGGAAGCTCCTGGCTGACCCCTCCAAGCAGGGACTGGCTTTTTCCTTCCTTGTCCATGGGAAGTTTTTGAAGGAGCTCATGGAGAACTCTCAGAACTGCCCATGCTCCTCACTCCAATGCCACCTGTGCACCCTGTTGGTGTTGACAAGCTCCTAAACATCCCTGACTCCTGGTGCTACAATTACAGCATCAATTAATTGACTTCATTTGCAAAACATGCAATTCCCTGGGTCCCCAGTAAAGGCCTGCTCAGGGGAGAGCAAAGAGCTGGAGTTTTTTGACATCAGCACGTATCTCCAGTTTTTGACACCACCTGAATTACCAAAATACATGTCAAGAGCAGTTTTGATAGCTATAATCAAAGTATTTGAGTTTCCAGCGATGCCTTCTGAGTTTGACAATGTCCTCCCACGAGGACACCGTGCCTGGGCAGCCCTGACATCGCTGCTCGTGCAGCCACAGCCATTCCCTGGGAATTTTTAATCCCTTGTAAAACTCCCTGCTGGTCAGAGCAGGAGGGAAGGGATGCTGTGGGTGTGAAGGGAGGTGTTCTCCAGGGGCTGGGGGCTTGTGCTGATGGAAGCTGCTCTCTCCCAGGTGGACAATGCTAAGGATTTCCTGTCCATGGGTGGGCTCCGGCTGGTGATCGAGGGGCTGAACAGCAGCGAGGCCTCGCTGAAGGAACATGCTGCCTTCGTCCTGGGAGCTGCCCTGTCCAGGTGAGACCTGCCCTGTCCAGGTGAGAGCTGCCCTGTCCGGGTGAGACCTGCCCTCAGCTGGGCTCTGTGCCTCTCTCCAGCTCCCTTGCTTTATTTCTGATAGCAGAGCCTGAAAGCTGTGTTGTGACACACCACAAAATTGTCTTGTCCCCTCCCTAGCCCTTGCAACATCCATTTCCCTTTCTCCTCAGTGTGTCCTTATCTTGCTCATTGGACATATCCAGAAGTAATGTGATGCCAAATCTATGATTGTTTCTTGATTTCCCTGGGCTCCCTGTTTGTACAAAGTGCAAGGGGGAATAATTCTTCTTTTCTCCCGCTGACAGACCTCACTAGGGGAAGATGTGATGAAGAGTACAGTTACAAGCACCCCAGTGAGCCCCTTTGTCCTTCCTTGTCCTTGCTCCTGGGCTGCTTCAGGTTGGCAAGGTGCTGATTTGAGCTGCTCCTGTGGTGTTTAGAGAGGGGCTTGGGCCCCATGGACACGTGCCCCTGACATCAAAGGGGAGTTGATTAGACATGGGGTCAGGAATAAGGGTCAGCAGCCAGAATCCAGAGGAGACTGACCTGCAGGATGTTTGAGGTTCAGGGAAAGGAGCCTGCTCTGCCTCATGCTGGGGCATCATGTGGTGTGCTGCAGGAGGTATCCCATGGACTCCATGGTTTTCTTGGTGCCCCCTTTTTGATTTATGGGTTTTGGGGCTTTGCAGGGGGTGTGTTGCACATTCAGAGGTGCAGAGGCTTTAGAAATGCATTGGATGGACTCAAACTTCAGGATCAGAAGTGCAGAGTGAAAATTGAAGGTCAGGACTGTTTTAGCTGCATATTTCTACACCTAAAAATACAGTCACCTTCTCTAGCATCATAAATTATTTATGGCTTAGTCTAACACATGGTCCACAGACCTGCATTTATTTGGCAATCTCGTATGCAATGCAGTTGGCCCTCAGCATGTGTGGAGTGATGGGGTCTCGTGGACAGGAGCAGGTACCCAGATTTATACCAGGAAGGGATCCAGCTTCTAGACTGAAACACAGCCTGACTCAGAGATGACAGGAAGATATATCAGAAACAAAACCTGCTCTTCTTATTTTGGTGTATCTCAGTCTTTGAAACAATACTGGTGTGGTTTGCTCAGGTTCTTTATGTAGACTCTTTCTACATACAGAGAAGATCATGCAGAGAGTCTGGAGACATTTGCAGGTAACTTGTGAAATAACAGAGGCTGTTAAAGAGCTTCCTTCCAGATGTACCTGCCATGACATGGTCAAGACTCCAAAAATTCATTGTCTTATGGTACCTGACAGTGTAGCAGTGGCCACGAGAGTCACACTTTTGTGTAGTATTTCTTACTCAAGAGCAAAAATCTTCTTTGGAGAGAACCTCTCATGTGATATGACAACATTAAACTGCTGCTTTGCAAACTTGTGGACCTTTTTTCTTTGAAGGACATTCTGGCAGATGGTAATTTGGAGAGGTTTGGATGATACATTGTCTGAGAGCTCTGCTCCAAAATGTGAGGGATATTATGCCTTGGTTTGAGTTTGCTTTTTCTCCCCTTGCTGTGCTTAAGCTTTCTCAGTAGACACCTACATGCCAACTTGTCTGCTGTGTGCTCACTGCTTAATTTGTTTGTTCATACATTTTCTCAGCTTACTCCATGCTCTAGTTAAACTGTTGGGGGCATTTCAGGTACTTCACACAGCATTTTGTGTTTTTCTGAGGGCTTGTTTTTTATTTCCTTCCCTCACGGTTGTTCCTGGGAGCCTCAGAGAGGTGGTAGGGCTCTCCAGTAAATTCCCAGAGGTGTCACAGCTCGCTGGGCTGCAGGGACATGATCTGTTCTGTGCTTGTGTGCCAGATCCTGTGCTGGATGCTGAGCCTGGCAAGCAGCAATGGTCTGCTGCTCACCAAATGGGTCTGTGGCCACCTCCCAGGTCTCTTCAGTCAGGCTGGCTCAGGCCAGTGGTTTCAAGCCAGGCAAACATTCCCAGAGGGAAATCAGGGCATGATGATCGCCGCTCCAGAGCCTGGCAAGGGAGGTCAGTAACTCCTGGCACAGCTCAGTCTGGAAGAGGGAGTTTGGCATTGTCTGTAGACGAGTGTTTTACACAGGAGGAAAACACAGAGCGATTCCAGATGTGCTTGGGTCACATCCAGAACTTTTCAGCTCTCAGAAATACCCAGATCTTCTCCAACTTGCATGTCCTTAATTCTGCTCAGGTAGTGAAGCAGGTAAGGGATGGAACAAGCAGCTGCAGCACCCAAGTCCTGCCTGCACGTGGTCCTGCCAGGACCTGGCTCAGAGCTCTGGCTGTGCTGGAAGCCCATTGGAATAAAAGAGATTTCCAGGGGATTAGCATCTTCAGCCAACAGGCCAGGGGGCTGGCCAAGGCTTGGATCAGCAAAGGCAGGAGGAGGAGAAGGCACAACAGGGCCAGCTCAGGATTTCTCCTTCCTGATATTGCTCCTATTTATTTGGTTTAAAGCAGATTTGAAAAGCAGCCATAGCACAGCATGACTGGGACCTCAGGACACAGGGTCTCAGGTCCAGCTGCCAGGGTCTGGCCTCCTGGCATCCATCTGCCTCTGGGAGCCTCTGCCACAGGAGAGGCAGATTTCTTCAGTGACAGGGAGGAAATCAAGGTTTCATCTCATGTTTCTCTTATATGTCCTTCACTTCAGGCATTTGGGTTTTAATTGCTGAGTCTGTGACCAAATCAAACATTGTTCCATCTGGTGGAGTTCTGTGAGCAGTGCCCTTACTGCAAGTCTAAAACCTCATCACACTCTTTACTGTTTTTAAGCCTTTAACAAAATGTTTTTCCATTCAGCAGTTTGCAAAAGTAAACTTCATTTGAACAATCCTCAAGTGCTCTGATTGCAAATAAAAGTTAAATGCACTAACAAAAATAATTGCTAGGCATGTGGGGTTGTACATTTAGGTATCCATAATTCACTAACAGTATATGCCAATACACAGCATTATCTGGATTTCCAGTGATTGCATTAGCATAAAAGCATGTTAGAATTTATCCTGTGGTACTAACATTTAAATATATATAAGTATGAAATATTAAGATCCAGCATTTTGGAGGCAAGTGAAACTACTGTCTGTAAAATGTTCCTGCATATTTTGAAGGTACTCTCCAGTATCTTCGCATGACAATCAGCATTCGCACCATTGGGTCCAAACATTACAAAAATGTCAATGTTTTATGCAAAGAGGAGCTATATTAAGCTAAAAAAGATTGCTGATGAGAGAAGTGTCTTCTGATGTCCTCTGAGCTATTTACAGGCAGCATCTCCCTTTGTTCGTGGCACAGCCAGGCCTCTGTGCAATCTGTATCTCCATGTTTCACAAGACTGGAAATGTTAGCCAGAAAGGATTATGCTTGTGATTAAAACCTCCATTTTTGAAAACTTTACCTACAGGAAACGTTTTTCCACACCAATAATTTGAACATTTCAGTATTTTGTAATAAAAGGATTTTTGTAATCCGTTTAAAAGGGGAATAATAATTTATGTTGAATGCCTTCTTGAAGCTTTATTCCAAATGCTCCCCGTGCACTTAGGGACGAGTTGGAGGTGAGGATGGAGAGAAATTAAGCGGTGGGACCTTCAAGGCAAAGGGAAGCAGTTTGTATTTCATGGGGACAAGGCAGAAGGCTCAAAAGGTGAGATTTTGGCCTGGCCAAACTGGGGAACTGGGAGGGCAGCTACTTGTACAGCTGTAGTGGCAGACTCATGGCATTTTGGTCAGACCTTTAAAAACCCACCCCGTGGGACGGCCAGGAACAAGGATGGACACTGATGGTCTGAGCTGATATCTGCCATGTGTCCTGGAAGGGCACAGGACAGTCCCAGCAGAGCTGCTGTACTGCTGGGCTCTCACTGTTCCATTTGGCCCTGAGTGCTAAAATTATGTCACAGGGCTTGGTAACGGCTTGGGAGTAAATTCATCACTGAACTGAACTGAAGCATGGTCATGCAGCAACACACATGAGTTTTCCATGGATTGTCTTAGCTTTTTCCCAGAGATTAAACCTTTAAAGGATGACCATGTGCATCCTGAATATCCCATTCAGCATTATTTGTACTACCCAGCTCCGAGGCTCGTTCAGAGCTTGGCCCACTCTGGTAAAGCCAAGAGAGGCACAAAACGTATTTGCTTCTCCAGAGAAGCCTCAGAGGAGCTCCCAGAGCTCAGCATCATGGGGTCCACCTGGTTTTGGTTCTGCTTTCCCATTGTTTTTTCTGAGGGAAAAGGGATGTGGGAATGCTGTCTCCTTGCTCTGTCCATCAGTCCCCTGGTGGTGTCCATCCTCCCAGAGCACAAGACTTCCCTGCTCTGTTGGAGAAGCAGCAGCAGCTCCTCCAGGACACCTTAAATTCCACCAGATTTAAGGAGTTTAAGTTAGGTCCAGCTGTGCACTGAAACTGATTGCTGCTCAGTGGTGTTAAATAACACAGAGGCCCAAGCAATAAACCCAAGAAAAGTAAAATTAAAGACCTTGCTTCGATGCTGTCTTGTAAGGACATAAGAATTTCTGTGCAGAGAAATAAATCTGGTTAGCTTAACAAGCACTGTCCCTACCCATTTATTTCCAATCCATCTTCATCCCTTCCTCCTCCAGCTTCCCCTTTTACATCCTGCAGTATTTGCCCATCTCTTTTTCCACTTTCCCTGATTTTTTCAGTGTCCCTTTTTGCCCACACCATGTGTTTGCCATCTCCCAGTTGCAGTAATTCCAGCTCCACTCCTTGACTGCTTATAATTTCTTGCTTTGTAGATTGTCTCCTCTATTTTTATTTGAACTCCTGACTTGTGTGAAGTTATCAGCCTCACTGCACTTAATTTCAAATTAATTTGATTGGGTCACCTCAGTTTTTTTTCTGTAATGATAATGAACTCAACCTATTTAGCCTTTCCCCATTATGAATAACCTTAACAAAAACTGCAGTGCAGTATAAATGGGTGTTTCATCATTGTGGTTAA